AGTTAAGAAGGCAAATGACACTCTTGGATGTATAGCCAGAAGCATGGCTTCCAGATCTAGTGAGGTGTTGGTACCATTCTACATGCCTCTGGTGCTCCCACAACTGGAGTGCTGCATCCAGTTTTGGGCTCCACATTATAGAAGTGACATAGCTAGGTTAGAATTAGTTCAGCCCAGGGTCACAAAAATAGTAGCTGGGTTGGGAGGGAGGACATATGAGGAGAGATTGAGGGAACTGGGTCTTTTCAGCCTGGGGAAGAGGACAGTCTGAGGGGATCTTTTAGTGACATAGGTATATGAGGGGATGTCATGTGGAGAAGGCCCATGATCTGTTCTTCCCTGCAGTGGAGGGCAGGATGCATTTCAATGGGGCAAAGCTCAAGGAACCAGGCTTCAGGCTGGATGTTCCTGACAGTTAGGACCCCTAGGATATGGAATGAGCTTCCAAGGGAGGTGGTCAAGGTCCCATCAGTGAGGGTGCTCCAGGAAAGATTGGAGAACCACATGAGTTGGAGCTGGTCAGATTAGATGCCATGGGAAGCCCCTTCTGACTCGCTTTTTTGTGTGCTTTTATTATTCTATCTGGAGGTAAATTTGTATGTGAATGTTTTGCCTTCACCAGGTCCCTTCTAAGGGTGAGTCATGCTCACACTATTGGTAGAAGCACAAAACTCATTGTTTCAGCAAAAATAGAACAAAACTTGCACAAAACCAGAGTTCAGAGTTCAGCAGAGATATGTGGATGATTTGCCTTCCCCAGATCCCAGTGAAGATTATGTAATTTCTACACCTCTGGTGGTGAAATATACTCCAGTGATTCAGGCTTTTGGAAGTAACAAAACCAAAGAAAAGCTGAAGAGCACAATCGGTTTCATGGATTTGTCATGCTTCAGTTTATTTATGGGGAAATGGGCTGATGAATGTTCCAATATGGGGATTTCCCCTGGAGCAGGCTTCAAACAACTTCCTCAAACTAAAATCTGAGGTAGTGTCTACCACTGCTTTGCTTTGTTCCAAAATGCCAGATGGAGCAGCTTGTCCTTTGAAATAGGAGACAGAGTGCTGTGTTGCTTCAACGTTCCATCAGACATTCTATAGCAATGGCCATATATCAAGAAGGCTACTATCTTCTCTGAAATTATGCCATTCCCTACAGATGAATGTTTGAGTTTTGTGATCCAAGAACTCATTACATTTCAATTAAGTTTGAGAGCCTCTGGTTCCAGTGTGACTCCATCCAGTGGTGTCTTCTCCACAGGAGCTCTGAAACCTGCAAACTTCATTCTGGGACAGATCCTGAGGTGGAGGAAACCCTGACTACCTGTA